TTCACATCATTCTCTAGAGTAAAATAAAAATTGTATGGTTATTAAAAGTTACTTATTAATCGTATCAATCTACTCGTCTGATGTAGACAAGTGATTTCACACCGTTCTCTAGAGTACAATAAAAAAAATTGTATGGTTTACATTTACAATAGCCAAATATAGGCTTTGGATAAATCTTCCAATTTTACATTCGTGATACGAATCGTCAGAAGAATGAATTTATACTTTACTGAGATTAGTTTACTAGACGGTAGTAGAAAACAGTTTAAATGCTACCTTGTGGTCTACAGATTGGTTTTAAACTAAAATTCACTGTATCATATAGAATTTGTAACAATACCTACTCGCCTATAGAATTTTACCTTTCGTGAAAGGTTTAGGGACACGGTGGGGGGGGGGAGGGAGGAGATGAATTCTTACATTAGCACACGCTAGATAAGTAGTTAAAAAGGTATACATAGAAAACGATTCTCAGGATTTTGTAAACCAATTGGCCGTATCATACTAGTTTAACACAGGCTTAGGCACCGAATAATATATTTTTATAAATGAGATCAAGTAGATCTTAACTTTTTTCGTTTTTCTTTTCCCATGAATCGATATTCAGCAGTGATGTCAGTTTAAATTTCCATAACTACCACTATTGATCAAATCATAATCCTCTTTGCTATCGACAAATTGATCTCAACACCATTGGATTGTCAACGTCTGATGTCGAATTGTGAATGGCTACTTTAGATTTTATTTTTTTATTTTTTTATTTTTTTGGCCATAACGTGAATGTTCGAATTTTCTTGGAACTACTCCGTGATCATTTGCCTGCGTTATTAGAATATATCGATCTAGATATAAGGTAAGGTATATTCGACAGGATATCTCCACATTTTGTACGTGTACTACGCAATTCCTCAATGATGAATGTTTTGCCAGGTGGATCAATCGACGGGGTCTGTTTGCGTGGCCACTTCGTTAACCCGACATAACATATCTAGATTTTTATTTGAGAGGATTGTTAGGGGTGAGCAATTGTGCGGGAGAGATTAAAAAAGGAGTACACTGAGTTTAATATTTCTATTTTATTAAACCAAGTTACAATTGAGTTAGAACTAAATAGTCGGCATAAAAAACCTCACCGTGTGAGGACAAAGCCGCTATTTTACAAATTACAGATCTCAACTAGGATCGAGTTAATGCGCACGAGTCCAAAGAAAGGCACAACTCACCTCGTTAGAATCTGGACGTAAAGTGACTCGCATCTCAGTTCCACGTCTCATGTTGCCGAATTTTCTCGCCAGCCTCGCCGCCAATGCGGCCCGCTGCGTGCACATGTTTACTTTTGGGCCTTGCAGGCGCGCTGCCACGCTGGCACGCTTATCACGTTCCCGCTCTCTCGCCCTCCAACTCTCTCGCTTGCTCTCACTCGCCAGCCTGCCGGTCCTAGGAGCAATCTCAACATTGCCCTATCCGGAAAACTCATCAAGTAAGATGAGGTGACCCACATAACCAAGAGTAAATTTTCACAGGGGGTCTGCAGCCTTCGGGGAGCAAGCTGAAAATTCTGGCTTCACGGCCACGTAACGCATCCCGCGCTCGTGCATGTCCATGGGTCGAGTTTGAGCTCGGAGAACAGTACCGCTGGCTCAATCGCAGGTTCGCAACAAGCCGCTCCGGTCTACATCCTTCCGACATTCGTTCTCGTTTGTCCTTTCACACTCAACATCGACGATCGCACTCGTACGTCCATTCCGCTCTGGCAAACGATTACAATAGGTTGTCGTAAGCCGCTCGATCCTAAGTTCGTTACAAACTTATCCTCTAACCGCAAGCTAAACTAAGTATCATCATTAAAGTAACTTATCAATTACTCAGCCGTGGATTCATTTTCATATTTGTCGAGCCGCGTGATAATACCCAGACCCGAGAGTAGCAGTTAATTTTTATTGCGCGTCTTCGGATTTCGGCCGAAGGTTCGAAGTCGAGCAGTGTGTGGTGACTATGATTCACACTTCTCGTGAACGTGCATGTCTCATCTCACGCGACCCATTTCGTCCATTCTTTGATTTTTAATGCCTTCCTCTACGTTTCTTACAAGGATATCTGAAAAACGTGCTAATTATTTTATGGATTAACCTTTCCTATGAATGATTAATATTCATACGTGTGATATACAGTCTCCCAATTTAACTTGCCGAGTAGGATATCTCAAAACTTGGGAAGGTAATCGAAAAATATTTCGAACGAAAGTTATATGGTTTGGAGGGAGTCAACTTATGATATCCTCAAAATTGACCATGAACTTAATTTTCAAGGTCATTTCAAGGTCAACTTTGTTTTTTCAAGTAGGAAACCCAATTTTTGACCCCGGATTCAGAATCTACGATGAAGTCTACGTTCAAATAATGTATCATATGTGGGTCCGGGAGACCCCCCAGATCACTCAAAAGTTAACTTTGTTCTTTTGAATAGGAACCCCTACTATTGACCCCGGATTCATATAGAGCGAGAATTTTGAGATTAAATGAGTTATTAATTATTTCAACTTCTCAAGGTTATGTGAAAGTCAAAAATGGGATTTCAAATTTGTAATTCAGCTAAGTAAAAAAGCAAAGGTAGTTTGTAGCTCAGATTCAATTTATTTATGTATCAATGAACAAAGCTCAGCAAGCAACTTATTTGGAATATAGCTCGTCATAGCGAATAACATTATTTATTTTCAAATAAAAAATAATTTTAAATTTATTATAACAATTGTTCAATGGGTCCTCCATTATTTTCTACACACAATTCCAATCTACGACAATAATTGTTCATGACAGCTCTGAGTAGTTTTGGCGTGACTGCTGCACAAATCCTCCTGATTCTTTCCATCATGTCTAATCTAGTAGTGGGTACATCTTCATAAACAGCATATTTACAAAATCCCTAGAAATAATTATCTAATGGATTGAGATAAGGCGATCTTGGTGGTTATGGGATTGGTCTACCACAACCTAGCTAATGATTCCCAAACCGACCATGCAAAAATACCCTAACATTGGCCGCAAAATAAGCTGGAGCACCATCTTGTTGGAACCACATAAGCTGTCTAATATTCAATGGAATGTTCTCTACATATTCGGGCAAATGGTTTTCTAGAAAGTCAAGATGTCGTGGACCGTTGACTGTACCATCAAGAAAATGTGGACCAATTATATGCCCATTACTAATTCCATCTCAAACATTAACACTCCAACGATGTTGGTTGACAATTTGACAATGCCAGTGAGGATTAACAGGGGACCAATAATGACTATTGTGTCTATTAAGCCTGTCATCACTTTTGAAAGTGGCTTCGTCACTAAAACGAACGTTTTAGAAAAAATCTGGATCCTGATCTAATTGATTCAGAGCCCACCGACAAAAGTCCATCCTGAGGAGTAGATCATTTTCATTTAACTCTTGATGCAGTGTTATGTGATATGGGTGATAACGTACCGATCTTAACATACGATGAGCAGTAGATTTGGAAATTCTCAGTTGGCGTTAAATTGTTCTTGTACTAACATGAGGGTGTAAATGAACCATTGCCAATACCGCAATGAGTCTTACATCATTGTTATACAAATTTCTGTTTTGACATATCTGCCAATGTAAATTATTCTGAAGACAGCGTCTTAGAATATAAAATATTTGTCGATGGCTTGGGTGACGCTGGTTAGGAAAGCATTCAGCATAAAGCCGAGCAGCAGCTCTGTACATCCGATTGCATTCCCCAAGTGTCAACAGTATTTCAACAACTTCATTCGCTGAATTTACCATTCTGTAGAAAAAATATGCGAATTGCAGCATTTTAATGGTAATACAAGAAGTTTTAATTATTAATTTAAGTATTAATTTGTAAATAATTTTTCATATACTTACAGGAAAAAAGGTTCAACTCCACATGTAGTAGATGAATAATTTTTTATACTTAGAGGAACCAAAAATGTTCAGAGATACTAATTTACACGTTTTTCACGAAATACTACTATCACACTTTCACCTTCATTATTATTATTGTTTTTTTACGTCCATATCATTTCATTATCATTTCAATTTAAGGATAGGAACATTTCGATTTTGATGATATGGTAAAAAAAGAAGCGATGTTGTCATAAATAATCTACGCAGAATAAATTTTTAATGCCTACACAGACTTCTTAAAAATAGCTTTCTCAGAATGTCACCGAGCTAGAATTTTTTCAGTTTAACAAATCGTAGCAGGCAGCAGATTTTCATCCTATTAGAAAATCGAAAGATTTTCAAGAGGAAAACTACTTTGACTTGTACGAAGTTTATTACGTTGCGAAGTTGAAGCGATTCTTCAAAATCTCATCTAATAACCTCATCTAATTTTAGACTGCTAACTCTATTCGAATCTATAATCAAAAATGGGTGTTCTTTAAAAAAAAACAAAGTTGACCTTTGAATGACCTTGAAAATCAAGTTCAAGGTCAAATTTGAGGTTATCACAAGTTGACTCCCTTCGAACCATACAACTTTTGTTTGAAACATTTTTCGATTACCTTGCCAAATTTCGAGATATCCTACTGGGCAGGTTAAAATGGGACACCCTGTATAATTGAATAAACAAATGAATTAAATAGTATAGTAGAGAAAATAGGCTACGAAAATAAACGAATATAAAGAAGATTAATATTTAAAATGAAAACGCAATCGAATAAAATATTAATGTTTTTAGTATGATTAATGTTTTAAGTTTTGACCATCGTTTATATATTACACCTGCATTCGTTTTCGTATGTGATCATTCTAAAATACTTATTAGTCAAAACAAAGACATGTTTTGTTAATCAGACAACAGTAAAGGAACGTATGAGTTTAAGGTTCGCACTAATATGACAAATAAGTTAATAGTCCAGGGAGGTATACACTTTTTTATTAGAGAAATTTCAAGAAAAAGAAGTTTCTCATATTAAAAAATTTTTGTATGAAAAATACTTTTATAGATTATAACATACCAGTGACCTCCAACTCTAACATAATCTGTTGGATATGGTAACAAACAAGATATAAAAATATCATGATAAGTATTCATGACATTGAAGAGCCATTTGCAAACATAATCTGTCTTTAATTTTTCCAAAGTGCTTTCAGCTTGACCTGAAAAAATGTTAATATTTGTAATATTGCATACACACGTTTTATATTATAATATATCAAATAATACATCATTATACAATATGGATATTGATTATCATTACTGATTCTTTTATCCTTTTCCAAATTATTGATGAAGATTTTAATATTAGTTTTTCAAGAGCAACAAATATGAGTGTGAAAATATGACAAATTAGGTTAAATCATGAATGTTTACTAAGCACTATGTTTAAATTAATTAAGTTAGGATGAATAATAAAACTATCCGATATATTTCGTCGCGTTTTAGTAGAATTTGGAAAATTCAATTGTTGTTTAAGAGATCACTTGACAATTATATGTCTTACGTTATGTGAAATGAGATTTAACATAAACATAAGAAAAGGAGAACAAATCTCTACATGAGTTTATGAATGCATTAATTTATTTTTCTTGAGTCTGGTATTAGTCATGTATGAGTTAAGAAGATAACTGATGAATTTATTAGGATTGTTTTGTAACCTCATGTTATATTTTGTATAGAACCTTGTAATGTCTTCTTCTACTGGTTTGACCTGTAAGTCATGACATACGAATTCGTTTGGGACAAGACATGGTGCTTGTACGATATTACAAAGGACTTTTATTGAAATCTTTTCACGATTTCATGATTTTAAGATTCGAGTTTGAAGTCATACTACAGTTGAATATCATAAATTTATATTAGTTTAAGTACGGCTTTGTATACTGATAATTTATTTTCTATTGTAAGTTTCGATTTTTCTCCTACAAGACAATTGATTTTCCTTCATTTTAATTCCAGTTGTTTCCGTTTTGTAAAGATATGTTCTTTCTATGTGAGTCTCTGATCTAGGTGTATACTTAAATATTTTACTTAAATATTTTACTTGAATACTTTATGGAATTAAGAAGAAATGTAGAATAAACTAAAGTATATATTAAAAATAATTTCTCTGTTTTAACCATTTAGATTGGTGTAATGTTTTGGATTTCAAGATCTTCGAGTAATACATTCACTTCTTCTTTTGTGATTATTCTTTGATCAGATTTGAATACTGTATTGTGGTAATTTACGAATGTCATGTTTTTTTCTTGGTCAATTTTACCCACTTACTACTAAGATAGCTAATTGGTGGAATAAATGTATTTTGTCTTTTAAATAGCTTAGTCGCTTTCCAAAGTGAATAATCTGTTGCTTCTGTTGCACTAAATACTTCAAGATATTTTTGCAATAGTATATTTATTTTTTCATACGTTATTGAATCCTTAGCTGCTTCATTTAAATTAGTTGTATTGAGTCGATCTTTTCAACTAAATGTTTTTCTTAACGATTTCTTATCTTTAATTTAAAAATTTTTGTTTAATTTGAATAACATTTTTCTATATAAATGTGGTTTAACATCCGTAAGTGAGGTCTGCAATGGCTCGGTCGGTAGGGCTACGGACTCGCACCCGGTAGGCCCGGGTTCGATTTCCAGTCCCTGCTGATTGATACAAGCACCACTGAAAAAAGTTTCATGTGCTTTGTTCTCAAACACATTGCAAAAAAAAAACATCCATAAGTTAGAGCTAAACTAAGTTAGGATATTGGCAATCAGATCTCTTATGTCTGCAAGCGTATCTTAATTCAGTACGGTAAGGCAAAACATTAAAGTTTTGACAATTTCCGATTAATATTCAATTGCACTATTTTTCCATTTTCAGCTTTATTTAGATTTTATCTCGTTAAATAAATTTATTTTGTATCATTTTTTTATGAGTGATTCTACACTTATCACAGTAAATAAAATTTACCATAAATAATTTATTAGTTGCTATTTGTAAAATATAAATAAATAAATATAAATAAGTTAATTTTTTTACGCCTCTAGACGTTTCTCGCCTCTCTAAATGTTAAGCGAGACATTACATTTAAAGAGTTTTTTAATGAGTATTATGTATTTTTCCCACTCAATTTTTATGTAGTTGTTTACTATTTGAAGTACTTTTAAGTGCAATGTGATTAATATTAATGAGTGATATTTGTTAAGAGGAAACATGAAGATACTTCAAAGAAATTTTTTGTTTATACCTTTTACAATTGCAGACTTAACAAGATTAGGTACGTATCTTGTTTCAATTTGTTGGCTAGTATGTTAGTTCTTCAGTAGATATTTAAATGTTGTTATATTTTTCCGAGTGTCCTGGAGAACTTGACCTCTATATTTTGCAGTTCGTGAAATTGCTTAGACGCAATCACACGAATCCGCTTGTTATCAGCTATGAACAATTCTTACAGACAACTTTCTTGTGCCCAAATATTTATATAAAATGTTTCATATGCATCCTACTGAAATGTTAAGAGCCTCCATAATTTTATACACTTTCAATCGACGATCGGCGAGTACAATATCATGAACTTTATCTATCATATCTTAAATAATCACCTCTTTTGGACGGCCAGGACACTCAGCATTACTTGTGCTCTTATAGCCACAACAAAATTCAGTAAACCACTTTTGAACTATGTCCTGCGATGGAGCAGAGTCTCTATAATATTTTCTGAGCTTTTCTTCAGTTCCTTTGATTGATTTTTCTCGTAGAAAATAATGTTTAATAATTACACAAAACTCATTTTTTTCCATGATTTAGTTAACACAATGAAAAACTACATTCAAATAATTGTTTATACGCACTTATACTGCATGGGACTCTCTTACAGTATAAAATTCCTTACGATAACATTGTCATCTTCCGAGAAGTCGTGGACTAATTAAACGACTCTCGGATATGTATGTACAAAAAGTAAGGTGACTCTATGATTTTCTCAAAAAATATTTATTTATTGGTCAATATTTATTTTGCCCGCTTCAAAGTTATCCCCGTTATAGATATAATACACTTTTGCCGGCACTTTTTCCAAACATCGAAGCACTTTTGATAATCATTATGAGATATAGCCTTGAGTTCTTTCAGCGATACAGTTTTTATTTCATCAATCGTTGAAAATCGATGTCCTTTCATGGGTTTCTTAAGTTTTAGGAAAAGAAAAAAGTGACTAGGAGCCAAACTGAATAAATATGAAGGCTGAGGTATGACTGTGGTGTTGATTTTAGCCAAAAGATCTCTCACAAGCAACGATGAATGAGCAGGTGCATTATCGTGATGCAAAATCCAAGATTTGTTTTTCCAAAGTTCCGGACGTTTTTTACGTAATGCCTCGTGCAAACGACGTATAACTTCAAGTTAATACTTTTATTTCTCCTTATTGGGGCGATTGCATTTTAGATTCGACATTATAACCATATACCCACGATTTATTACCAGTTATAACGATTTTGAGAAAATCAGAATCTTCATTGACTTCATTCACCATCTCCTGAGTCATGATCCTGCGATGGTTCTTTTGATCAAAATTAAGTAATTTTGAAACGAATTTCGCTGACACACGTCTCATACCCAAAACATCCAAAAGAATATCATGGCATGAGACAACCGATATGCCAACAATTTCTGCAACTTCTCTAATGATTCAACAATTTTTTAATACAATTTCTTTCACTATACTAGTAACGAGATGGATTACTACAAGCGTTGCTCAGGAATCCATATTTGGCCCGGATCTCTGGAACATATTGCACGACAAATTACTCAGACTGCAGATGTCATCAGGGTTAAGCTGATCGCCTACGCTGATGACGTGGTAGTGGTGATAATAGCACGAACTCCGGCACGGGCACAAATGTTACTGAACCGCGCAGTATTACGAATCAACAGATGGATGACCAGACACGGACTGAACCTGGCCCTGGCTAAAACAGAGCTCATCCTTCTGACGGGAAACAAGATTCACACCCTGATTCGTATGATGGTCTGAGAGATAGAGACGCAGACCAGGAGGACGGTCAAGTATCTAGGGATAATTCTAAATACAAGCTGACCTACTAGCCACATATGCAAGAGGTATCCAAGCAGGTGGCAGAGAGGATTTCCGCTCTTAGTCGCTTGATAGCGAACACATTTGGACCGAGACAATGGAAGAGACGGGTACTGATGTCTACGACTCACTTGATCATGCTGTACACGGCGGAGGTGTGGTCCGACGCACTCAAGGTCAGAAAATATAGCAAGGAACTGACGAACATAAAACGACAGGGAGCTTTAAGGATTGCCTACGCTTATAGGACTGTCTCTGCAGAGGCTGTCCTGGTGGCGGCGGTTGGGATCCCGATAGACCTGCTCGCTAGAGAACGAAAGCGCGTGTACGAACGAAATGGAAACATAACAAGAATAGAAACCGCGATGAAAAAAAAATCCAGGACCATGATGAATTGGAATGAGTAATGGAAGAGGAGCACGACTGGCGCATGGACGAGACGCCTGATTGACGACCTAAGGCCGTGAACGAAAAAGAGATTCGAGGAAGTGAATTTTTTCTTGATCCAATATCTTACCGACCACGGGTATTTCCGGAAATACTTATTTGACAGAGGGAAAGTAAGCAACCCTGACGTCTACAGGACGGTCTAAACGATGTTTCTCTACAGGTGATGTACGGCCACGTTTAAATTCATTTACCCTATTGTAAACAGTTGTAAACACACAAGCAGATACATCATGACTTGAATCGAACTCAGCTTTAATTTCTTTTGGTGTAAGGCCTTTTAAATAAAAATGTTTTATCACCGCTCGGAACTCACGTTTTTCCATTGTTAACAAGAAACAAAAGTTGTTCACTTTGATCGACGTTAAAAATAGAATTACTCACTAGATCTAGCTGAAACTTCGGCAATACTCTATTTAATAGTGACGCTTGCTGATGCAACATAAGTCCGGATGCTTTGAGCGCCATCTCTTAGATTTTCTAAGGTCTTATTGATCAATTGTCGTTGTTTATCTTTGCACATCTTTTCTAAGTATTTAAAATTCACGTGACCTAAAATCTTATGATATCTTTCCTTTTGTGTTACATTATTTTCATTTTTTTTTATATTGCAATATTCTTTTCCGCTAAAATAACTGCT